TAAACATTAAATATAACATATTAGTTAATAATTTTTTTTTTAATATAAGCAACACTCTAAAGTGTAATTTCCTTAAAATTACATTTTAGCTTAAAATGAAAATATACATTCTAGAGTAGTATGCATATTATCCTCCAAAAAAAAAAAAGAAAAACTAATTTTTTTTTTTAAGATTATATTTTTTTTTAATTGTAAATACCCACACAAAAAAAAAATTATTATTTATATATTTTTTTTTTAAGTACGCTCACTTTAAGTGCATGTATGTATATACATATATTCTATGTTTACATACTTTTTGAATAACTATTTTAGAGCAAACATTTAAGATAGCAAATTGTCCTTGCGAATTAGCATGCACAAAATAAAATGTTTTTCCTCTATTTATTCGTCTAAATATTATACAAAAAAGATCAATAGTATTATTTATAGAGCAATGTATTAACCGATATGAATAACATAGGTAAAGCTAAATATGTTCACTCTAAGTCAAGAAAACTTAGTGACATTCAGCGGAAATAGAGTATAATATAAAAAAAATAATTTTAAATAGTTACAACTTGTGAAACATTTGATTATTATATTAAAGAATCTATGGTATTGATTTATTAACTGGATGTTCGGTGACTTTGCTAGATTAATGAACGAACAAATTAATAAAGAGCATGTAGAGTTACCTCTACGATTTTGATGTATTTATATATATTTTTATATTCTTTGAACGAGTGATTCTTAATTATGTGATATATTTCGTTCAACATTCTCTGCTTTGAATAGGAATTTATTTACTTTAATAAAAATTCTTATTTTCATAATAAATTCAAATCCCTATTGAATATTGATTATTATTTAATTGGAAATTATTTATTTCTTTGTTATGAGTTATGTTCAGAGATTTGAATATATTTCTGTTGAATTAACAAACATAAACAATTAGTAAAAATGCAAATTAATTATATGAATGTTATTTACATGAAAATTTTATTGTCATATGTATAAAATTTTCTCTCACCAATTAAGAATATAAATATTATGAAAATTAAACTCTTTTATGTGTAAATGTTTTTATCTCCTTAAGATCTCATTTTTATTGGTACTAAATCTTACTCTCGATTTTTCTTTTACCAATTTTCTCTCCTAAATTCAATCACTTAAAATAAAATAAATATATTTTTTCTTTTTACGTATCCTTATTTATCAAAAGAAAAAATATCCAAAAAAACACAATAATTTTTTTTTTTTTTTTTTTTTTTTCCGCGTTTGCACAACCAACTACGTATTCTTTATATAGCTAGTCCTTTTTATTATCAAAAGGGTTAATGAAGCCTTTTATTGACCAGTAATGGACGAATTAGGATATGTCATCATAAAAAAAAAAGGATAAATATATATATATCATGGAAGTTAAACCCAAAGTAAAAGAAAATTAATTAGAGAATTTGAATAAAGAAATTATTCAGAATTTTATTAAAGCACCTAATTTAAAAGATCAGGAAAATAAAAAAGAGTTGGAAAAAGTATTAAGAAATAATACAAGACTCTTCAAAATAAAATAAAATCATGTAACTTAACAACATATACAAAGTTTCTATTTAGGTACAAGGTAAACCTCGGCGTTATAACCATAGACCATTGCTTTATTTATTGGGTGTTCGGTTACTTTGCTAGAGTACTGATTTATTAACTGGGTGTACGGTGACTTTCCAATAATACTGAACAAATCAATTAATAAAGAGCATGTAGAGGTGTCACTACGATTTTGTTGTATTTATATGTATTTTAATATGCTTTGTACTAGTACTTCTTAACTATGTGCTCTACTTCGTTCAGCATTCTTTAATTTCAATAGGCATTTATTTACTTTAATAAAAATCCTTATTTTTATTAAAAATTTAAATCCTTATTGAATATCGACTAATAATTAAATGTATATTACTTGTTTATTTGTTATGAGTTACATTCAGCAGTTAATGTATATTGCTATTGAATTAACAAACATAGACAATTATTGACAATACAAAAAAATATATAAATATTAATTACATGAAAATTTTATTGTTACTGGTATAAAATTTTATCTTACAAAATTCATTAAAATCACATTTCATTCCAAAAAAACAAAATCTTTTTTTTTTTTTTTTATTTTTTTTTATTTTAATTTATTGGTAACAAATCTTTTTCCAATTGATTTATTTTTTTTCAAAAAAAATTACATACAAAAAAAATTGATCATTTTTTTTTTTTTTTTTTTGTGTACATGACCAACTTCGTATTCTTCATTTAACTAATCTTTTTATTTTCCAAAAATCTTAATAAAGCCTTTTATTAACCAACTATAGAACAGGAAAATTATATATATAAGAAAAATATGGAAATCATTTAATGTATTAGTTTCATAGTAGTAAATTCGAGGACATTGTGGAGGAAATAAACACTAAAGAAAATACAAAAACATTTTTGGTGGCCCAATATTAGTAAAAATATTGAAGAGTACGTCACAAATTTTTTAATTTGTCATGTAATACGTAATAGGAAATTTAAACCCAACAATAATCAAGCTTTATCAAAACCTAATGTATTTGATATGGTTTCATTGGATATTATAGGACCTAAAACATGGTAGGTACATAATACAATATACAAGTAGCAATAGAACATCATTCACGTTTTATGGTAACTAACATAACTATTAAAATACCTAATGCTATTGACGCAAGTAACATTACAAAAAAAACATGGATACCTATATTTGGATGCCCTGGAAGCATTTTAACAGTTCTCAGCTCAATTTATACTAGTCAAGAATTTAATGACTATATTTCAAAAAAATTACAGATTAAATTATATCTTACCAGGGCATATTATCCACGAGGAAACCGTATAAATGAAAGCTCTCATAAAAGCTTAGATTATATCATTAAGACTTTATATGAAGAAAAATATCCACCTTTTGAAGAAATAGTAATAAATGTAGTACTAATATATAATAATACACCAAATGGAACTCTAGGAGAAACACCCTATTTTTCTATGTTTGGAATAGATTGTATTTGTCCAGGCTTTGCAAAATTAGTACCAGAAACAACTTCTGAAATGATGATCATATACTTAAAAGATCTATGGAAAAACATACATGAAGATGTTAATGAAATCAAAAGAAAACCTATAATTGAGAGTAAAAATATTAAGGTTGGAGATATTATCTCATAAGAATAAACGGAATACGAAAGGAAACAAATGAAACACTATAGTGGGAATGTACGATATAAATCTTATTGGTCATTTCCTCACAGAGTAATTAAAATTGAAAGAGGAATTTTAAAAGCATTAACTATATACTATAGAGGTAAAGTACAAATTCCAATGTCAAAAATAAAATTGTTAAGTAACAAAACCAGGGAGATATATGAAAAGCAACTGGAGAATTTAATACAAGGTACTAATAAAAATAAAAGGAAACTAAATTTGATGCATGATTTAAAGTCTAAAGGTTACCTAGATATTCATAAACGGAATAGCATTATTATAAATGACATTAACGACAATCAGGAGAAGCATGTTGAAAATGCAGTACAAAAAGGATTTGATGTAATAAAACAAGCCAAAAATAACAAACATTAAGTAATAACCATTACTATCCCATGGTGATGAAGCATGGTTAATAAAAGGATTCATTAACCTTTTTGGTGATAAAAAGAACTAGCAATATGAAGAATACGTAGTTGGTCAGGCACACAGAAAAAAAAAAAAAAAACGATGATGAATTTTTTTTTATTTTTCCTTAAAAAAAAAAGATAGACACGTAAAAAAAAATATATATTTTTCTTTTTTAAATGATTTAATTGAGAAGAAAAAGAATGGTAAAATAAAAATTTAGAGTAAGATTTAATACCAATAAAAATGATATCTTAAACAGATAAAAAAAATATATACATAAAAGAGTTTAATTAGCATAACATTTATATTTTTAATTTGTAAGAGAAAATTTTATACATATGACAATAAAATTTTCACATAATTGATATTCATATAATTAATTTTTATTTTTACTAATTGTTTATGTTTGTTAATTCAACAGAAATATATTTAAATTGCTGAACATAACTCATAACAGAGAAATAAATAAATTGCAATTAAATAATAATCAATATTCAATAAGGATTTTTATTAAAGTAAATAAATGCCTATTGAAATCAAAAAAAGCTGAATGAAGTAGAGCATATAATTAAGAATCACTCGTTCAAAGCATATAAATGTATATATAAATACAACAAAATCGTAGAGGCATCTCTACATGCTTTTTATTAATTTGTTTGTTCAGTACTCGAGCAAAGTCACCGAACACCTAGTTAATAAATCAGCCTGTAATAATTCTTCATCCAACTTTTCTTCTTCTATATTATCCTCTACATTTACTACCTGATTTATTTACTTTCCATAATTTATATTTTTAATTTATTAAATTATCATTCAATCAATTTGCTAGAGTAATGAAAAACAAATTATTAAAGAGAATATGGAGTTTTCTCTAGTAATTAAACAAATTTTAAATATAATTTTAATTATATAAACAAATAAACTGAAATAATGTGGTTCATTGTGAATTTACTTTGATAAAAATTATGTATTTTTATTAAAAACATATATTATCATTAATTATTAATTTTTAAGTACAAAATATTTATTGCTTTTTATAAGTAATTTCCAGTAATTTAAATTCACTGCTTTTAAAAATAGTAAAAATGCTTAAATAATAAAAAAAAAAATTTAATTATATAAATACCACCTAACGAAAATTTGATTCTTAAAAATTAAAAAATATTCTCATGAAATTTTTTCTTTCTAAAAAATTTTTCTCTTTTAATTTTTTTTTTTTTTTTAAAAAATAAAATATATCTGTATAAAAAAAGTTTAGGTAAAATATTAATTTTTCTTTTTTTTACTAGATCTTGCACATGAGTAATACTATATTCTCTGTTAAAACATTAACTTTTATTTTCTTAATGGTTATCAAACCTCTTAAAAAGAAATTTCAAAATATTTGATTTCTTATTTTTTATTTTATTTTTTCCCTGCTCCATCTTAGATTCGGAGTGTGTTTTATTGTCTATCATCTCTTTCTTAGATTCGGATTCTGTTTTATTGTCTGTCATCTCATTCTTAGATTCGCATTCTGTTTTATTGTCTGTCATCTCATTCTTAGATTCGGATTCTGTTTTATTGTCTGTCATCTCATTCTTAGATTCGGATTCTGTTTTATTGTCTATCATCTCTTTATTAGATTCGGATTCTGTTTTATTGTCTGTCATCTCATTCCTAGATTCGGATTCCGTTTTATTGTCTCTTATCTCATTATTAGATTCGGATTCCGTTTTATTGCCTCTCATCACTTTACTAGATTCGTATTCTGTTTTATTGTCTCTCATCTCTTTCATAGATTCGGATTCTGTTATATTGTCTGTCATCTCTTTGTTAGATTCGCATTCTGTTTTATCTTCTATCATCTTTTTCTTAGATCCGGATTCTGTTTTATTGTCTCTCATCTCTTTCTTACATTCATCTAAAAATTTCGCAAATTCTAAGTAGAGTTCATCCTTAACACTACGAATTAATTTTCTTTTTTCTTCTTCTGATATATCACTTCGATGAAATATTGAAGATAGTTCATTAACCTTGTTAGCTGAAATTTTATTCCATTCATTATTCCATTTTTGGTCTCTCCATTTAGGGTCCATTTTACTTGTTTTTTCATTAAATATTGTCTCCAAGAAGCGATTAGTTTTTCTCTGCCATCGATCGCACGGATTCTCGTTTTGAACCGGATTTTCCCATTTGTTTTTTTTATTATCTAATGAACATTCTTCTAGGATTCCTTCCGAGTAAGTTTGCATTTTTCCTGCTATATCACCCTCTGTTAATACTCTTTCATATTTTAACTCATTTTTTGTTTGCAATATATTTTTATCAATCAAAGTTTTATATGAATCACACTATGGATTAAATAAAAATTTTTAAAGAGAATGTTTCTTATGTTAGGATAGTAAATTAAATGAAATGTTAAAAATAATTAGAAATGAAATATATCTATATGTATATTTTTTGTAAAAATTTTAGCTTACGTTATAAAAACATTGAAACATCCACATTAAAAGAAGGAATATAGTAATTTTTAAATATAAAGTTAACCTTTTCATATTAATATATTTATTGAATAATATTGAAGTGGAAGTTATTAATTCAAGTGTAAATTGTTTCAATTCTGAATAATACTAAATTATGGATTTGTAATATTAATTTAGATATTATTATAACATATATTAATTTCCTAAATTTTAAAAATAGAAAGTAATTTTTATATATGAAATGTAATTTCTAATTTTTTATTATTACATATGATATTATGATTACTTTAGATAGGAATAATATTCTTAATTATTTAAAAAATTAAATAAGAATGTTAATTTACAAATAAATAAAATATATAATAAATAGGATAAAGTTATTTTAAAAATATTTTATTATAATTTTATTTATCTTTAAATTATGTAAAAAAATAAAATATTTTTAATTTAATACGCATAAAAATTATAAATGATATACATTTAATGTTAAAGGGTTTTTATAATTTTTTTTTTCTAAATTACTAATTTCTGTGAATTATGTCGAACTTCAAATTATTTTATATACGGTATATTATGATTTATAAATATAAATATTTGTACATATAGAGATATATCTACAACAAGAAAAGAAAAAAAACTCTATAAATTAAAGATTTTTATGCGCATGTATTTTTCATACAGTATACTACATTTGTCACAATTTTTCACTTATATAAAACTAATTTTTTTTTGTATATTTTTCTTTTAAATATAAATTTTTTATTTTTCTAATATACTTTTTTTCATTTTAATTCTTTTTTTTTTATTTTTATTATTGATAAATATTTATAAAATATATGTATATATTTATTTTTAATTAAAACTATTTTTTAAAAAAAATTACTTTTGAAACTATTAGAAAAAAAATGAAAAAATTTTATTAAGTACCTAAATTCAAAAGAAAAAGTGAAAATAGATATTTACTTTAAAGAAATTATAATAATAAATGTTTATAAAAAGCACATTTAAAAGTCAAATAAATTAATTACAATTTAAAAAAAAAAAAAAAAAATACTATTTTTTTAATCATATATTTACAGTAAAGAATATTTTTTAAAAAGTGTTTTATTTTTGACAAATTTACTTAATTTATTCTAAAAATACATTTTTATAAATTTACTTTTTTACGAGTAATACTTATCAGTTGTAAATTTAATAAAAACATTATTTACTGAATATAAAAATATATCTTTAGTTAAATATAATAGATTCTTTCTTATAAAATTCAAAAGAAAGTATTTATATCGTGATATAAAAAATATCAATAAATAAAGATAAAAAAGAATTATAAAATAACTTTTTGTATATATATTATTACAATCTTCTAATTAAATATAAAAGAAAATTATTTATTTTTTTTTTTTTTTTTGCCTTTATATATTTATTTGATAAGCCTTGATTATAATTACGATGTGTTTATTTTCTTTTTTATTTTTAGTTTTATATATTTATAGGATAATTTTTTATTTTTCACTTTACTTATCAAATAATTTAGTTAACTCATTTATATGGTATAAATGAATTCAACAATTGTTCCTTCCTAACATAACTTTTTTCTTAATATGTTTAATTTTATAAGACATATTTGTAAATATTAATGAGAATATTAATAAGAATTTTTTTATTTTTTAAATTTAATTTGTTAGAATCTTTGACGTATTATTAATAAAAAGTGGTGTGTATAAATACTATCATTTTTAATATTTTAACACTAACTTTTCTCTTAAAAATAATCATAAATTTAATAAAAGTGCATTTTTTATGATTTATATTTTTTTAATATTATATGTAGAAGTTGTTCTTACTAGTAAAATATGTAAAATATTAAAGTGTCTTACATTTAACATGGATATTACATGATATTAAAATAATTTGAATAGTGTATGTAATGGAGATATAGAAACATAAATTATACAAATTACAGTTCATGATGTATTAGAATGATTATATTTATTATAAATAGGATAATATTTATAAGGAAAAGAAATTATTTATATCTCTAATTTATTAATGGTTGTTAAATTACTTTTCTCGTGTCAAACAAATAAATTAATAAGGAAAGTGTAGTGTATACTCTACTTAATTTTAATATAAATTTTTATATTTATTAATAAACATTAAATATGACTTATTAGTTAATTATTTTTTTTTTAATATAAGCTACACTCTAAAATGTAATTTCCTTAATATTACATTTAGCTTAAAATAAAAATATACATTCTATAGTAGTCTGAACATTATCCTACAAAATAAGTAATGAAAAACTAATTTTTTTTGTTAAGATTACATTTTTTTATTGTAATAAATAAAATAACATCATAATATATTTTTTTTTTTAATTGTTAATACCCACACAAAAAAAATATTATTATTTATTTATTTTTTCTTAAGTGCGCTCACTTTATGTGCAAGTATGTATATACATATATTTTTTGCTTAGGTAATTTTTTAATAACTATTTTGGAGCAAACATTTATAATAGCAAATTGTCCTTGCGAATTAGCATGCACAAAATAAAGTGTTTTTATTCTATTTGTTCGTCTAAATATTATACGAAAAGTTCAATTGTATTGTTTATTTTTTTTATTAACTGGTTGTTCGGTGACTTTGCTATAGTACTGATTAATAAAAGGCTTCGTTAACCTTTTTAGTAATAAAAAGGACTACCTATATGAAGAATACGTAGTTGGTTGTGCATACGAGAAAAAAAAATTGATGATCAATTTTTCATTGTTTGTACTTTTTTTATTTTTAAAAAAAAAGTACAAAGACCGTCAGCAAAAAAAAAAATATATAAAAAAAAAAAGAAAAAAGAATTTTCTTTTTAGAGAATGAAATATATTTTGTGATGAATTTTGCAAAAGAAAATTTTATACATATAACAATAAAATTTTCATATAATAAATATTTATATAATTTTCTTTGTATTGTCAAGAAATGTCTATGTTTGTTAATTTAAGAGCAATATATATTAATTGCTTAATGAAACTCATAACAATGAAACATGTAATTTACAATTAATAATCAGTGTTAAATAAGGATTTAAATTTTTAATAAAAATAAGGCTTTTTATTGAACTAAATAAATACCTATTGAAATTAAAGAATGCTGAATGAAGTTGATTATTATAATTAAGAATCACTCGTTCAAAGCATTTAAAAATATATATAAATACATAAAAACCGTAGAGGAAACTAGACATGCTCTTTATTAATTTGTTTGTTCAGTACTCTAGCAGAGTTATCGAACACCCAGTTAATAAAACAATATTCTAGCAAAGTTATTGAATAAGAAATATATAAATTAATATTTCAACTTAAAAATTAATCTTTTCAAAAAAAAAGTAAATATATTTTTTTTTTATATTTAAATATTAGAAAAAGAAAACAAAGTAATTAACAATCATTTTTTTATTTTTTATTATTTTTTTTATTTTTACATCTAGAATTTGCATGTATAACTATATATTTTCCATACAACTATTATCGTTTATTTTAAAAAGGATAATAATACATTTTATTAACCAACATGCAATCGTTAAGTAAAAAAGAAAGAAAAAAATTAGTTAATGTTTTTTTATTTTTGTAATTTAAATACACAAAAAAATGAATTTTTATTTTTTTTAATAGGAATTTAGTGGTCGAAAAATAGATGAAAAAGTTATTGACTAAAAAAGCTTATTGTAGTGTACTTTTATTTAAATTTGAATAAGAGAATTTTATATTAACTGTAATAAAATCTTTGTGTTTTGTAGTACTCATGTAATTTAATTTGAATTTTATCAATTATTTATGCTAGTTAATTTGAGAGCAATAAATTTAAATTGTTAAATATAAATCATAATATAAATAAAATAAATGTAATTAATGGTTTATTAATTTCCTATTCATTACATTGCTGGATATTGAAAAGAAGGATTAACAACGAGTAGGTAGTGTTTCTCCTACCATTTAAATGAATTTAAATATGTTTTTAATACTACAAACCATTGAAATGCATATGGTCTCCTTCATTGAGCATTTATTGTTTTTAAGAGGCATTTAATTATTTTAATAAAATTCCCTAATTTTTATTAAAAATTTAAATATTTATTAATTATAGTTTTAAATCACATATATTTTACTTGTAATGTTATGATTAATGTTTAACAATTCAAATTCACTTCTCGCGAATTATCAAATATAAATAACAAAACACAAAATAAGTTATACAATACTACAAACACGAAAATTTTATTATTGTTAATATAAAATTTTCTCTTTAAAATTAAAAGATAAAAATTTGCGACGAAAAAAATTTTATCAATTTTTCTTCTATTTTTAAATAACTTGAATATTTTTTTCACACTATTCATTTCTATNTTTTTTTACTATCGCTTGCATAACTATTTATTTTCCATACAGAAACTATTTTTTATTCTCAAAAAGTCTAATAATACTTTTTATTATACAATATATATATATATATATATATATATATATATTGATACTATATTTATGAAGTATTTTTGACAATAGGAATTTTTTTTTTTTTTTTTTTTTTTAAATTAAAAACAAACTATTATTAGAATTTTTGAACAACTATAAAAAATAGACAAAAAAAAAAAAAAAACGAAAAACAAGAAAAAATAATTTATTTATTTTGTGTTCCAATTTAAATAGACATTTTAAAATACTTATATGAAATATTTTTAAAAAAAAAAAAACAAATTGATTTTATATTTTTTTTTCTTTTTATTTTTTTTTTTATAATTTTATTATATCTTAATATTTATTATTCTTAATGAAATAATTATATAAATTAAGAAAACAAAAATTATAACAAAAAAAATTCAAAAAATTTTATTTATATCTTAACAAAAAAAAAAAAGTTTTAAAAGTAAATATTAAAAAATTTTATCAATATGTATAAAGGATATTTTAATAAAAGTTAATTAAATATTTAAATTATATATTAATTTTTCTTTTTTTTTTTTTTTTTTTTTTTTTTTAGCCAGCTGGCCTTGTTCAGCTTAGAGAAGACTCAGAGAAGATTTCACTGTGGTCTTCAGGTGCCTAAAAGGAGTTCATAAAGAGGAAGGGGAGTAACTTTTTATGCAGTCTGATAGTGATAAGACTAGGACAAATGAATTTAAACTAAAATAATAACTAAAATAAAATAAATTTAGATTAGTTGTTAGGAAGAAATCCTTTACTTAGTGGATGTTGAGGCAGCCTAATCTGAGGGGTGGCAACTCTGTCCATGGCAGACGTACTGGAACAGAATGATCTTCAAGGTTCTTTCCAACCCAAACCATTCCATTATTCTACGATTCAATTATTCAGTGTTTCCATTAAGATCTCCATTATTAATATCTGAATTTCTTGTTGCAATTTTCAATACTTTTTGTTATTACTGTAATTATCTTCTATGGATATAACTCATGAATTTTCTGTTTAAATTCAGTATATTTTCTTTTGAATACTTTCAGATACCATCTTCAAATATTTTGTTCTCAGGGAGAAAAAAAAAAAAAAAAAGCTTTTTTAAATGAACTGTCAAAAATTCTAGCAGACATATCTTTAATTTCCTATTCATTACATTGCTGGATATTGAAAAGAAGGATTAACAACGAGTAGGTAGTGTTTCTCCTACCATTTAAATGAATTTAAATATGTTTTTAATACTACAAACCATTGAAATGCATATGGTCTCCTTCATTGAGCATTTATTGTTTTTAAGAGGCATTTAATTATTTTAATAAAATTCCCTAATTTTTATTAAAAATTTAAATATTTATTAATTATAGTTTTAAATCACATATATTTTACTTGTAATGTTATGATTAATGTTTAACAATTCAAATTCACTTCTCGCGAATTATCAAATATAAATAACAAAACACAAAATAAGTTATACAATACTACAAACACGAAAATTTTATTATTGTTAATATAAAATTTTCTCTTTAAAATTAAAAGATAAAAATTTGCGACGAAAAAAATTTTATCAATTTTTCTTCTATTTTTAAATAACTTGAATATTTTTTTCACACTATTCATTTCTATTTTCTTTCATTTATCTAGTAATTTCATGTCTATTTATTTTCCATACAGATATTAATTTATTTCTCAAGAAGGCTAATAATTCCTTTTATTAACAAATCTTTAACTCTAATAATTCTCAATAAAGACTTTTTTTTTCTTTTTTGTGTCCTTTTTTTTGTCATGTAGATAAGCTCGTAATAATTTTGCATCCAACTTTTTTTCTTCTATTTTATCGTCTACATTTACTATCTGATTTATTTACTTTCCATAATTTACATTTTTAAGTTATTAAATTATCATTCAACGAATTTGCTAGAGTAATGAAAAACAAATTATTAAAGAAAATATGGAGTTTTCTCTAGTAATTAATTGGATTTTAAATATAATTTTAATGATATAGACAAGTGAACGGCAATAATGCAGTTCATTGTGATTTTACTTTTATAAAAATTATGTATTTTTATTAAAAACATATATTCTCATTAATTATTAATTTTTAAATACAAAATATTTATTGCTTTTATAAGTAATTTTCAGTAATTTAAGTTCACTGCTTTTAAAAATAATAAAAATACTTAAATAATAAAAAAAATATTTAATTATATTAATTTCACATAACGAAAATTTTATTCTTGGAAATTAAAAAATATTCTAATGAAATTTTTTTTTTCTAAAAAATTTTTCTCTTTTAATTTTTTTTTTTGAAAAATAAAATATATCTCTATAATAAAAATTTAGACAAAATATTAATTTATCTTTTTTTTAACAAGATCTTGTGCATGAATAATTCTATATTCTCAGCTAAACCATTAATTTTTATTCTCGTAAAGGTTATCAAACCTATTAAAAAGAAATTTCCAAATATTTAATTTCTTATTTTTTTTTTTATTTTTTCCCTGCTTTTTTTTAGATTCGGATTCTGCTTTACTTTCTCTCATCTCATTCATAGATTCAGATTCTTTTTTATTGTCTCTCATCTCTTTCTTAGATTCTGATTCTGTTTTATTGTCTCTCATCTCATTCTTAGATTCGGATTCTGTTTTATTATCTCTCATCTCTTTCTCATATTCGTCTAATAATTTCTTTAATTTTAACTGTTCTTTCATAACACTAAGAATTAATTTTCCTTTTTCTTCATCTGGAATATCTCGTCGATAAATTATTGAAGATAGATGATTAACATTGTTAGCTGAAATTTCATTCCATTCAACATTCCATTTTTTTTTTTTCAATTTAGGGTCAATTCCACTTGTTTCACCATAAAATCGCTCCCACAATAATGGAGTATTAACTCTCTGCCATCGATCGCACGGATTCTCGCATTGATCCGGATTTTTACACTTGTTTTTTTTATCATCTAATGGACATTCCTCTAGACATCCTTCAGTGTTAGTTTGCTTTTTTCCTGGTATGTCACCCTCTGTTAATACTCTTTCATATTTTAACTTATTTTTTGCTTGCAATATATTTTTATCAATCAAACATTTATTGCAATCACACTATGGATTAAATAAAAATTTTTTAAAAGAATGTTTCTTTTATTAGAATAGTAAATCAAATGAAATGTTAAAAAGAATTAGAAATAAAATATATCTATATGTATATTTTTTGTAAAAATTCTAACTTACGTTATAAAAACATTGATACATCCAAATTAAAAGAAAGAATGTAGTAATTTTTAAATATAAAGTTAAAGTTTTCATATTAATATATTTATTGAATTATATTGAAGTGGAAGTTGTTAATTTAGGTGTAAAATTGTTTCAATTTTGAATAATACTTAATTATGGATTTGCAATATAAATTTAGATATTATTATAACTTATATTAATTTCCTAAATTTTTAAAATAGAAAATTATTTTCATATATTAAATGTAATTTCCTATTTTTTATTATTACATATGATGTTATGTTTACTTTAGGTAGGAATAATATTCATAATTATTTAAAAAATAAAATAAGAATGTTAATTTACAAATAAATAAAAAATGTAATAAATAGGATAAAATTATTTTAAAAATATTTTATTAAAATTTTATTTATCTTTAAATTATGTAAAGAAATTAAATATTTTTAATTTAATTCACATAAAAATTATAAAAGATATACATTTAATGTTAAAGGATCTTTTTTATTTTTTTTTTTCTAAATTTCCAATCTCTGTTATTTATGTCGAACATTAAATTATTTTATATATGATATATTAGGATTTATGAATATAAATTTTCGTATATTATATGCATATATCTCCATCAAAAAAAGAAAAAAAAACTCTATAAATTAAAAATTTTTATACGCATGTATTTTTCATGCAGTATACTACATTTGTCACAATTTTTCACTTAATATAAAACTAATTATTGTTTGGATATATTTTTTTTTTAATATGACTTATTTGATTTTTCTAATATACTTTTCATCATCTTATTTCTTTCTTTTTATTTTTATTATTGATGAATGTTTATACAATATAGGTATATATTTATTTTTTGTTATAACTATTTTTTAATAAAAATTACTTTTTCAACTATTTTAAAAAAAATAAAAAAAATTTATTACGCACTTAAATTCAAAAGAAAAAGTTAAGTAGGTATTTACATTAAAGAAATTATAATAACAAATCTTATAAAAAGCACATTTTGAAGTCAAATAAATTAATTACAATTAAAAAAAAAAAAAAAAAAAAATACTATTTTTTTAATCATATATTTACAGTAAAAAATATTTTTTAAAAAAAGTTTTATTTTTTGACAAATTTAACTTATTCTAAAAATACATTTTTATCAATTTACTTTTTTTCTAGTAACATTTATAAGTTTCAAAATTAATATAAATGTTATTTACTGAATATAAAAATATATCTTTAGTTAAATATAATAGGTTTTTTTTTATAAAATTCAAAAGAATATATTTTTTATTGTGATATAAAAAATATCATTAAATAAAGATTAAACAGAATTATAAAGTAACTTTTTGCATATATATTATTACAATCTTCTAATTAAATATAAAAGAATATTATTTATTTTTTTTTTTTTTTTGCCTTTATATATTTATTTGATAAGCCTTGATTATAATTACGATGTGTTTATTTTCTTTTTTATTTTTAGTTTTATATATTTATAGCACAATTTTTTATTTTTCATTTTAATTATCAAAAATCTAGGTAACTCATTTATAAAGTATAAATGAATTCAACAATTGTCCCTTCCTAATATATCTTTTTTCTTAAAAAATTAAATTTTATAAGACATATTTGTAAATATTAATGAGAATATTAATAAGAATTTTTAGTTTTTTTTAATTTAATTTATTAAAATCCTTGACGTATTATTAATAAAAAGTTGTATGTATAAATACTATAATTTTTAATATATTAACACTAATTTTTCTCTAAGAAATAATCATAAATTTAACAAAAGTGCATTTTTTATGATTTATATTTTTTTAATATTATATGTAGAAGTTGTTCTTACAAGTAAAAATATGTAAAATATTAAAGTGTCTTACATTTAACATAGATATTACATGATATTAAAATAATTTGAATAGTGTATGTATTGGAGATATAGAAACTTAAATTATCCAAATAACAGTACATGAAATGTTAAAATTATTATAATTATTATAAATAGGATAATATTCCTAAAGAAAAGAAATTATTTATAGCTCTGATTTATTAATGGTTGTTAAACTACATTTCTCGTGTCAAACAAATAAATTAATAAGGAATATGTGTGTAAACTCTACTTAATTTTAATATAAAATTTTTATTTTTATTAATAAACATTAAATATAACTTATTAGTTAATTATTTTTTCTTTAATTAATGCAACAATCTAAAATGTATTTTCCTTAATATTACATTTTAGCTTAAAATAAAAATATACATTCTATAGTAGTCTGCACATTATCCTCCAAAAAAAAAAAAAAAAAATTAATTCTTTTTTTTAGGATTACATTTTTGTTTAGTAATAAAAAAAATATAATAATAATATACATTTCTTTTTAATTGTAAAAACCAACACAGAAAAAATATTATTATTTTTTTTTTTTTTTTTAAGTTCGCTCACTTTATGTGCAAGTATGTATATACATATATTTTTTCTTTACATGCTTTTTGAATAACTATTTTTGAGAAGATATTTATGATATCATATTGTCCTTGCGAATTAACATGCACAAAATAAAATGTTTTTATTCTGTTTATTTGTCTAAATATTATACAAAAAATATCAATAGTATTGTTTATAGAGCAATGTATTAACCAATATAAACAATATGGGTAAAGCAAAATATGTTCACTATACGTCAAGAAAACTCACTGACATTCAGCAGAAATAGAGTACAATATAAAAAAAAATTATTTTCAATAGTTACAACTTATGAAACATTTGATTATTATATTAAAGGATCTATGGTATTGATTAACTGGGTGTTCGGTGACTTTTCTAGAGTACTGAACAAACAAATTAATAAGGATCACGTCAAGTTGGCTGTACGGTTTTGATGTATTTATATATACTTTTATATGTTTTGAACGAGTGATTCTTAAACATGTGCTCTACTTCGTTAAGCTTTCTTTGATTTCAATAGTCATTTATTTACTTTAATTAAAATCCTTATTTTTATTAAAAATTTAAATCCTTATTGAATAGTGATTATCATTTAATTGTAATTTATTTATCTCTTTGTTATGAATTATGTTCAGCAATATAAATATATTTCTGTTGAATTAACACACATAAACAATTAGTAAAAATGCAAATTAATTATATAAATGTTAATTACGTGAAAATTTTAATTTCATATGTATAATATGTCTCTCACAAATTAAAATATAAATATTATGCAAATTAAACTCTTTTATGTAAACATTTTTATCTGTTTAAGATCTCATTTTTATTGGTACTAAATCTTACTCTCGATTTTTATTTAACCAATCTTTTTATTCTCATTTAAATCATTAAAAAAAAATAAATATATTTTTTTTTTTTTTTTTTTTGTTTGTGAATGACCAACTAGGTATTCTTCATAAAACTAGTCTTTTTATTTTCCAAAAAGGTTAATAAAGCCTTTTATTTACCAGTACTCTAGCAAAGTCACCTAACACCCAGTTAATAAATCATATGTTCAGAACAAATGGAGATTTTGAGAGCACTAAAATAAACATATCAAATGGATAATAAAAATTGGATGAGGTTTCGTTTGAAAAACCTTCCAAATGGTTTGACGAGCTTGAAAACAGAGTTAAAATGAGAGAATTAAACAAATTTGGCACATACATGATAACGGAATCTTTATTACCAGAATCTTATTCATGATGGATAACAGAATTGTATTGCTATGAAGAAATAACTGTAATGTTACAGCTAAAGATAAAATTCTTGAAGAAGTTATTTAAAAATGGTGATAAGCGTATTAAACATATGAGAAAACTATTATTAGTAGATAGGAAAACAGTGTAATGGAAGCTATGAATTCATTTATTGAAGACTGTAAGGAATATGTTGATGGTTGTTTATGTTTTGATGAAACAAACGGATATAATATTGACGATGTAAGGAGATTTTTTAGATTGCGAATCCCATTTAATTGTTTAGTAAAAGCACCTATTAAATTATCTAAGAATAAAGAATTTATGGATGTAATATCAACAATGTTAGCATTAGAAGACATGTGCAAAAAAGAAAATAATCATAATAACTTGAATGTAATGGCAGTAAATAGAGATAAGTATGGATATTCAGAAAAGAAGGACAGAACATTTAATAAATGTTACTGTTGCGGCGAAAAAGGTCATATTAAAAAGGAATGCATACATAGAAAAAAAAGATGTAGTAATTGTAATATGATAGAACATTAGGCATTAGAATGTAGAAATAAAATGATACGAGATAAAGAAAATGAAATCAAAGGTATAATAAAAGATAAAAGATATAGTTTAAATTTTAAAATGATCAAAAATGAAACTAATCCACAGAAAATCCGTCAAATGCAAAAATACCTTAATAAACAATTGGAACACCTGCAAAGACAAAAAGAAAAGGAAAAAGAAAGGTATAAAGAGAAAAAACCTAAAGGAAATGATGAAGAGAAGGATAGAAAGAGGAATAGAATAAATAAGATATTTAAGGAGAAAGATATTGACATCGAAAAGAAATCCGATGAAAGTGTAACAGATTCAGCAGAAAGTGAATTATCTTTTAATAGGACAATTGGTTAATAAAAGGCTTCATTAACCTTTTTGGTAATAAAATGGACTAGCTATATGAAGAATGAGTAGTTGATTGTGCACACGCGGAAAAAAAAAAATATCATTGAATTTTTTTTGATATTTTTCTTAAAAAAAAAACAGAGATACGTAAAAAAAAAATATATTTATTTTTTTTAAATGTTTTAATGAGAGAAGAGAAAATTAATAAAATAAAAATCGAGAGTAAGATTTAGTACCAATAAAAATGAAATCTTAAATAGATAAAAATATTTACATAAAACAGTTTAATTTGCATAATATTTATATTTTAATTTGTGAGAGATATTTTATACATATGAAATTAAAATTTTCACGTAATTAATATTCATATAATTAATTTGAATTTTTACTAATTGTTTATGCTTGTTAATTCAACAGCAATATATTTAAATTGCTGAACATAATTTATAACAAATAAACAAGTAATTTACATTTAATTAATAATCTATATTCAATAAGGATATAAATTTTTAATAAAAATAAAGATTGATATTAAAGTAAATATATGCCTATTGAAATTAAAGAATGCTGAATGAAATAGATCGCATAATTAAGGATCACTCGTTCAAAGCGTTAAAAATATATATAAATACATCAAAACCGTAGAGCCAACTCTACGTTATCCTTATTAATTTGTTTGTTCAGTACTCTAGCAAAGTCACCTAACATCCAGTTAATAAATCAGTATTGAACAAACAAATTAAAAAAAGAGCACATAGAAAAATCTTTTTTTAATTTTTGTCAAATTATTCTCTTTTATTAATTATATCAAATATTAAATTCATGAGTTAATTACTATTTTTGCTTAATTATATTATATCTCATGTATATCACATTTTGTATTACACTCTTAATTTTTCATAAAAAAAAAATAAAAAAATATACGAACATTTTTTTCTTAATTTATTTGCTTTTAGAGAAAATGTTTTTTTTTTTAATATAGGTACTTTGTTTAAGTGTTAAAATATACATATTTAACCTTCATTTTAATATACAAAATGAAAATTTTTTTTTCTTATTTTATTTATTTTAATATCATTTAAAATTGTTGATAATCCTACTTATAAGCCAGTATTTATGTTATCAAAATTTTATGAGAAACATAAAGAAAAATAAAATAATTTAAATATAAATATATAAAACGAAAATAAAATAAATGCATTCTTATAATAATCAGAATCCATCAATTAAGCATATAAAGATTAGAAAAAAGACAAATGATTTTTTTAAATGTTTAATTAGAAAATTATAATAATGTAAATTCAATAGATTATGTTATTATTCGGTTTTACATTAATATATTGACACATTTTATATCCTAATAAAAATGTATACCCTTGTATTTTAAAAGAAAAAATCCATGGTATTTAATTAAAGATAACATTTTTATAGTTAATATAATAGATAAAATTATTGCTAAATTCAATATTTATGCTTGTGATTATTAGTATAATAAAAGAAAATTTATAAAAATACATTTTCATAATATGTTTTATATAATAAAGAATATTCTTTATAATTTTTAGAATAATTATGAAGGTAATTTTTCAAAATAAAAACAAAAAATTTTCGAAACAAGCTTTATACTGTATAAAAATGATTAAAAAAATAGTTTTTTTCTTTTAAACTTTTACCAATTTATTTAAAGTACTTTTTACATGATGTATTATTATAATTATTTTAAAATAGATATGTTTTCACTTTTTTTATTGAATTTGTGCATTTCAGAATTTTTTTTTTAATTTGCTTCAAATAAATGAAAAAGAAAATTATTTTAAAAAATAATTATGATAACATAAAATAAATACATATACATATGTATATTGTATAAACATTTATTATTAACAAACATAAAAATAAAACATTAAGATAAAAAACGTATAATAGAATAATAAAAATAGTTACATTTAAGGTAAAAATATTTTCAGTTAAAAATTAGTTTCGTGTTAAATTAAAAATGATCACAAATATAGTACACTTAATAAAAAATGCATGCACAGAAAAATTTTCAATTTATAGTGTTTTTTTTTTATTGATGAAGATACAATATCTCTAATATATCTAAATTTGTATCTATAAATTAATAATACCATATATAAGATAAATAAAAGTTTAAATTAGTTCACAGAAAAAAACTAATAGTTAAAAAAAAAAAAAAATTCATTAACATTATGTATAAAACATTTATAATATTTACTTGTTTTTAAATAACAATATATAATTTTTTTTTATCTATTTTAAGGATAAATATAATTTTAATGAAATATCTTTAAAATAATTTTACATATTTTAACCTTTTTTTAACTTATAAATATACTTTCTTATTTATTTTATTTTTCGAAAAACTAGAAGTAATAATCTTACACAAAGTCAATATAATATTATGTAAAATTATGAAAAATTTGGAATTATATTTTGTATAAACAAATAATTTTTCACCTTAAAAACATAAATAATTTAAAAATATTATAGTATCATATAAAGTAATATTACAGTTCTCTAACAAAGAATTATTGAAGATGAAAACAGTTTTATATCTGGTTTAATAACTCTAAAATTATTATTATACTATAAAAGTATTAAAATGAAAACATTTACTTTATGTTTAAAGATTTTTACATTTCTTATTTTAACTTGGATTTTTCATTGCTTTTACAATGTAAGACAAAGTTCGTATAAAAAAAATATATATAGATATATTTTGTTTCTAATAATATCTAATATTTTATTTATTTTGTTACATTAACAATAGAAAAAAAATTTTAAATAATTTTTATTTTATCTTATAGCATAATTCCAGTAGTTCTTTTATTAATAAAGATACATTTAAAATAAATAACAGGTTGAAATATCAAAGATTGTTAGCAGAGACTGATGTACTTGAAAAAAAACAGATACATATAAAAGAACGTAAAGAATATTATCCATCTGGTGAAAAAGATAACAAGGATGAAAATCTGGTTAATTTCAAGAATATATATATTATGTTGTATAGTGCTTTATTTCTATCAATATATGAATTGTTTTCTAAAAGAACTAATTATATGAGTAAAGAATGTTATCTTCAATCATTAGTTTTTTATAGGAAAAATATTTCATATGAGCGTCATTTGGAAGAATTACTTATTTAATAATATCATTTTACAAATGTAAAATGAAAAAATTAATTAATAGAATTTTATTAAATCTTCATTCATATTGTAATAAATTTTTATGTTGATTTAAAGAACTGGAAAAAAATAAATAAAAATAAGAGATAAAAAATTAAAAGCTCGATAATTAATTAAAAATAGACTTGTTAACCTATATGGAAATAAAAATTATAACATGAGAAGAAAGCACTTAATTAGCCATACATAAGTAATAGTTAAAAAAAAAATTAATATTTTGTTTTAAATTTTTTATAGAAATATATTTTATATTCTTTAAATAAGAAAAAAAAACTTTTAAATGTGAACAAATTTTTAGGAAGAAACATTTTTATGATAAAATTTTTTATTTTTGAGAGTAAAATTTTCGTTGTTATTGATATTAATATATTTAAAATTTTTTTTTGCTTTTTTTAAGAAAAGTGAACTTTAATAACTCAAAATTATTCATTAAAAGTTATAAATGAATGTTTTAAAAATAATAATTAATGATTAATGAAAATTTATGTCCTTAATAAAAACACAGGATTTTTAATAAAAAATGTAAATTATCAATAAAACACATAATTTACAGTTTATTTGTTTATAGTATTAAAGTTATATTTAAATTCATTAGATTAGTATAGAAAATTCTACATTCTCTTTAATAATTTTTCTATTTATTACTTATTTTATTAATTGTTTGTTCAATGGCTTTAGTAGTCTTGAACAAATAAATTAAGAGCATGTGAAAAAATTTTACTTATTATATATTAATTAAATTACAATACAAATCATTTACTTTTATTAATTAATATAAAATATTGCAGGCGTTATTAATTACTAATGTTATTAATTTACGCAATATAACATGTATATAACCTTTTTACTTTACATTTTTAATCTTTTAAAAAAAATACTCTACAAATATTTCCAAAAAAAAAAATAAATAATTTTTTTTTTTTATGTCAATATCGCAACAAAGAAAAATATAATAAAATATATATATATGCTTCTATAGTTTTCATAGTTTTTTAGCAAGTTTTATTTTTTTATAGCGTATGCATTTATACATACGCATTTTCCAGAATTCTAATATGAACAATATAAGATATTTTTGTTTATTTTATTTATTTTAATATTATTATAAAGAAGTTGATAATACTATTCATAGATCAATACTGCAAATAGAATTTCATCTATAATATTATTTCGTGAAAAAAAAGTAAAATTAAAAATGACAATAGATTATAGTTATTCATATAAATATCTAATAGTTGATTCGTACATTTATCTCATAAAAAGAATTATTCCTAAGATTTTATAATATTAAATAAATTTCGAAAATAGAACTTAAAAGTGGATTTAAAAACAAAGCATTAATTGAAAATATTAATCAATACACTAGATTTCTAGTATTTCAACGTAGAACATTTGTATTTAATGTACAATCATTTGAAATAAAAACTTTTGCTACGCATATTTAAAGAATAAAAAGTATTTTCTTTAACTTAATTTAGAAAAACAATGTAATTGTGTGTATTAATGACATTATTCTTTGAATGAAAATTATAGATTAACATATAAAATATTAAGAAGCCTAAATAAGTTTCTTATTGATTAACAAAAGACATTACTATCCTTTTCAAAAATAAAAAATTATTAGCTGTATGTAAAATATATGTTACCTATAAAAGCGCTAGGTAAAAAAAATTATTAAAAATTAATTTGTATTTTATTTTTTGAAAAAGTTAAAAAAAATATATAATAAAATATAATTTTTTCTTGATTAATAAGAAAATTTGACCTTTTGGAGAAAAAAGATAACTATATAGTAAATAGATCGCCATGTAATTAATAAAAGGCTTTATTAAACTTTTTGGAAAATAAAAGGACTAGTTAAATGAAGAATAAGAAATCGGTCAAGTGCATCCAAAAAAAAAAAAAAAAAATGATCAATTTCTTTTTGTTTGTACTTTTTTTTTTAAAAAGAAAAAGTACTAAAATCTTCAGGAAAAAAAATTGATAAAAAAAAAAAAAGTCAATTCGAAAAAGATTTATCACAAATAAATAAAAAAAAAATAAAAAAAAAAAAATATTTTTTTTTTTTTGGAATGAAATATGATTTTAATGAATTTTTGTAAGAGAAAATTTTATATCACTACCAATAAAATTTTCATGTAATTAATATTTATATATTTTTTTTGTATTGTCAATAATTGCTTATGATTGTTAATTTAACACCAATATATATTAATTGCTCAGTGTAACTCATAACAAATAAACAAGTAATTTACATTTAGTTAAATATCAATGTTCAATAAGGATTTAAATTTTTAATAAAAACAAGGATTTTTATTAAAGTAAATAAATGCCTATTGAAATTAAAGAATGCTTAATGAAGTAGATTACATAATTAAGGATCACTTCTTCAAAGCATTTAAAAATATATATAAATGTATCAAAACCGCAGAGGCAACTGTACATGCTCTTTATTAATTTGTTTGTTCAATATTCTAGAAAAGTCACCAAACACCCAGTTAATAAATCAATCTACGATTTTGATGAATTTATATATATTTTTAAATTCTTTGAACGAGAGATCCTTAATTAATTGATCTACTTCATTCAGCATTCTTTAATTTCAATAGGCATTTATTTACTTTAATAAAAATCCTTGTTTTTATTAAAAATTTAAATCCTTATTGAATATTAATCATTAATTAATTGTATATTACTTATTTCTTTCTTATGATTTATGTCCAGCAATTTAAATATATTGCTGCTTAATTAACAAATATAAACAATTAGTAAAAATGCATATTAATTATATGAATATTAATTACGTGAAAATTTTATTATTATATGTATAAAATTTTCTCTTACAAATTAAAAATATAAATACTATGTAAATTAAATACTTTTGTATATAAATATCTATAGTGTGTTTAATATCTCATTCTTATTGGTTACAAATCTTTTTCCATTTTATTTTTTTAACCAATACTTCTAGACGTTTTTTTTCTTAAAAAAAAAAAATTATATTTTTTTTTACATCTTTTAATTTATCAAAAGAGAAGCAAAAAAATTGATCATATTTTTTTTTTTTTTTTTTATTTTTGTGTGCATGATCAACTGCGTATTCTTCATATAGCTAGTCCTTTATATTCCAAAAAAGGCTAATAAAGCCTTTTATTAACCAGGTATTAAACAAAAGGATTAAGAACGAGCATGTAGAGTTTCCTCTACCAATTAAATGAATTTAAATTTGTTTTTAATACTATAAACCATTGAAATGTATATGCTTTCGTTCATTGAGCTTTTATTGTTTTTAAGAGGCATTTAATTATTTTAATAAAAATCCCTATTTTCATTAAAAATTTAAATCTTTATTTATTATAGTTTTAAATTACGTGTATTTTATCTATAATGTTATAATTAACGTTTAGCAATTCAAATTCATTTCTCTCAAATTAATAAACACAAATAATTAAAAAAATAAATTATATAAATAATGTAAAACACTAAAATTTTTTTATATAAATTTAAACAAAATATACTTCAAGAAGTTTCATGACAACAATTCTTTCTTCTAAATTTAGATGATAAAACGTATTAGTGGATTTTTTGAGAATAAAAAATAGTTTCTGTATGGAAAATAAATAGTCATGCAAGAGATAAATAAAAAAAAAAAAAAAATTAATTATTAATTTTTTTTTATTTTCTTTTTACTAAATTTAAAATACATAAAAAATATATTTTTTTTTTCCAAATGATTTAATAATTGAAAAATTGAAAAGAAGAGCTGTTGACTAAAAATTTTCTTAAAGTATATTATGTTTTAAATTCATGTAAGAAAATTTTATAACAATGATAATAAAATTTTCGCGTTAGTAATATTGCGTAGTTTATTTTGTATTCTGTTACTTATTTATATTTGTTAATTTCGGAAAAATGGATTTGAATTCTTAAACATTACACTTAACAATATAAATAAAATATATATAGTTAATATCGATAATCAATGATGTTTCAAATTTTTAATAAAAATTTAGTACTTTTATTAAAATAAATAGTTGTCTCTTGAAAACAATAAATTTTTATTTAAGAAGACTATATATATAAAGCAGTTTACTGATTTATAGCATTAAAACGTAACATAAATTCATTAAATTAGTAGAGAAAATTCTATCTTCTCTTTATTAATATGTTTGTTCAATATTCTAGCAAAGTTATTGAATAAGAAATAAATAAATTAATATTTCAACTTAAAAATTAATCATTTCAAAAAAGAAGTAAATGTATTTTTTTTTTTGTATTTAAAAATAAGAAAAAGAAAACAAAGTAATTAACAATTATTTTTTTATATTTTATTACGTTTTTTTTTTTTGCATCTAGAATTTGTATGTATAACAATATATTTTCCATACAACTATTATCGTTTATTTTCAAAAAGTAAATAATACATTTTATTAACTAACGTGCAATTGTTAAGTAAAAAGAAAAGAAAAAAATTAGTTAATGTTTTTTTTATTTTTGTAATTTAAATGAACAAAAAAATAAATTTTTACTTTTTTTAAAAGGAATTTAATGGTCGAAAAATAGAAGAAAAAGTTATTGACTAAAAAAGCTTATTGTGGTGTATTTTTGCTTAAATTTATATAAGAAAATTTTATATTAACTATAATAAAATTTTTGAGCTTTGTAGTACTCACGTAATTTAATTTTAATTTTATCAATTATTTATGCTTGTTAATTTGAAAGCAATAAATTTGAATTGTTAAATATAAATCACAATATAAGTAAAATAAATGTAATTAATGGTTTATTAATTTCCTATTCATTACTTTGCTAGAGTATTGAATAAAAGGATTAACAACGAGCATGTAGAGTTTCTCCTACCATTTAAATGAATTTAAATTTGCTTTTAATATAATAAACCATTGAAATGTGTATGGTTTCCTTCATTGAACATTTATTGCTTTTATGAGGCATTTAATTAT